ATACAGTAGTCGGCCCACCATTCTTTGATATCTCCCCACATCCTTTACCAATTCACCATCCACACCATTAATTCTGTGATTTGGATCAATAGGAGTGTCTGCTAGTTTGGTCCCAACTTTCCAATCTCTCGTAGTAGGTCAAGTACATACTTTCTTTGTGAAATAAAGATCCCATGCTTGGATCTTGCAACTTCAATCCCTAAGAAGTATTTGAGGTCACCAAGATCTTTGATCTCAAATTCTTGCTGCAATAATTTTTTGAGATCATCAATCTCCTTCAGATCATTTCCTGTCACCACTATATCATCCACATACACAATCAGAATTGACACCAAAACATCTCTCCTCTTCACAAAGAGGGTGTGATCAGACTGTGTCTATGTGTATCCAAAACGGATGAATGCCCCTTTGAACCTGTCAAACCAAGCCCTAGGTGACTGTTTCAATCCATACAGAGATTTTCTGAGTCTGCACACCTTTTCTTTACCAACATTTTCATAAAAGCCTACTGGAATGTCCATATATACCTCCTCCTGTAAGTCACCATTGAGGAAAGCATTTTTGACATCAAGCTGGAACAAGGGCCATGAATAGGTGGCTGCTAGAGATAAAAGAATATGAATTGAACTCATCTTAGCTACTGGTGCAAAGATTTCCAGATAATTAACACCATAGGTCTAAGTATACCCTTTTGCTACCAACCTTGCCTTGTACCTCTCTATCTTGCCATTGGCCTTATACTTCACTGTGAATACCCGTCGACATCCAACTGTCTCCTTGTCTAGGGGGAGATTAACTATTTCCCAAGTTTGGTTTTTGAGCAAAGCATCCATCTCCTCTTGCATGACTGCTTTCCACTCAGGTTTGGAGAGAGTCTTAGTAACATTCCTAGGTATAGACATAGAATCCAAGGAAGAAAGAAGAGCATGGTAGGAGGGTGATAAGGCACTGTAGGAAAGATGGTGTGAAATGCAGTGGGCTGTACACTTTCTCTTCCGCTTGCGAAGTGCAATGGGAAGATCAAGGTCAGTGGGATCAGCTGCAAAAATGGTGTTAGGACATAAACATTATCATCAGAAACATGATAGGCTCAAGAGGAATACTTGGAACTATATCTACCGAATCTGGAGTTTCAGAAGGACTGACAGAGAGTGGTGTGGGTCGAGGATGTGTGGATTCAACCATCATCTGCCAGCGCTGATATTGTTGTGAGGCTGCCCGTAGTGGCTCAGGTAGTGAAATTGGAGGTGTAGGTGCTGGCTGAACTGATGGTGCAGGTGGTGGCTGAACTGATGGAGGCACCACAGAAACAGAAAGATGAACAGATTGTGAGTTCTCCTCTCCAAAACTCTCCCCCTGAGGAGAACCACTCGAGAAGAAGGATGTGGATTCAAAAAAGTTAACATCCATAGTGACAAATCTGCTCCTCGACACTGGGTCATAACAACAATACCCCTTTTTGTTTTGAGCATACCCAAGAAAAACACATTTCTTGGCCTTAGGATCCAATTTCTTGCGATGAGGGCCAA